ATTTTTTGCAATTTTGAAAAAAAAATAATTTTTCATCAGCGTCAATACTTAATTGGATATTTCCTTCTATACTTTTTAGCACGTAGCTATTTATTATGAGCATTATTCTTCTGACTTCTGATTTCTTTTTAATTATAGGAAATGCGTTTTTCTAAGGTACATAAACTTTTGGTATTGTGTAGCCAATACATCCTTAAGGTATATAATTATCATTTAACATCTTGTCACCTAAATTCAGGTGACACATAGTTTTCTATGGGTTGTGACATCCGGTTCAGGGTGGTGGATATATTGACTGGTATTTGGCTATTTCGAAAGATGATTAACAGGATATAGACTAATAAAAAAGTATAGTATTTTGTTTGGCAGTCGAAGTGTTAAGCTGCTACCAATCGAAGTACCAATGTCTAAATGCACTCAAAAGTAAAAAGTATAAAAAATAGTATATCAATATATAAAAACTGTAAATTTAGTATTAAATAAGAATCCTTGCTGGAGAAATCTTATTTTTAGTGGATTGCAGTTATTCTCGTGCGAGGTGAATCCCATTTGTTATTGAAGGCTCTCTTGGCAACCGCGGTCAAAGATCATTTCAGCAGCTAACGTAGCAGAAACTGAATGTTCAGCTTATGAAAATGCGTGGGCACTGAGTGTCGGCCAGATGCTCTGACGTCACCATCGTGTGACTCATTTACCGGAGATTTTCATTTCACGAAGACACAACGTCAGCCCGTACGATAACGTCTGTAAATAACCACTTATCGTCTTCGTGTTAAAAAGATCGATACGTTTGCACCGAATATAAAAATCTTACCCGACGGATTATTATCTCCAATCCGTGGCGGATGAGTTTCCACGATCTGTTGCATAAACAGGCATTACAGGTTTACTGGCGAGGGGTGGGTGCTCGACCTTTGTTCTCCCCAGCAACCCCTATACCTGTCGCATCTTTAGGGGTGGCTTCTATGTAGTAAACGCTCGGACGGAAACCTTTCACCTACTCGGACGGAATGACCATATTTAACGACATCGTACGAGCATCGTGTAAATACACGCGTTTTGTCACCGATGATATCTGTCGCGAATGATAAAAAACGAGCACAGTCAGATAAAACGATGTCGATTTTACTATTTGAATGAGACTTAAATTAGATCGTGATTTAATTATCTTATCGCGTTGATGAAACGTTTTCCATTTTACTATTCCTGGTAATTGGCCTTTCATAGTTTGTTCGAGGCTATCTTTCTACAGGAGCTTAGGACTACGACACGACGGGGATTAAACATTTTACTGCCGCTGCGGCAATATCGCTACTTTATTTTCTTACCGGTTAGATTTACGGTGAATACCTGCCCATTGATGAACGATCGAACCGTCCCGTCGAGACTTGTAAAATTTACGAATTCGAATCACACGTGACACCGATTAGAGACGTTGGAATTATTTGCTCGCATAGAGTGGAACTCGATTCGAGTTTTACGCTTACGGTACGGCTATTTGGATACTTTTTACGGGCGGGGTACTCGATAAACTTCGGGTGAATAAAAAATTCCCACGAGGACAGCGGGAGGAAGTTCTCGAGGAAATGGTCGGCTCTTCATGTTATCCCGATGGCCATTGCTATAAACATTCGTGTTTTACAATTTTCCATGCCGGTCCCGCTACCATTGCTATTGTATAATGATCCATTAACAGAACACAACGTAAATCTATACGAATTTATTAATCTTCATCTAGTATCAAAATTAATTGTGACTTCTTAAAATTTGCCATTGCGATGCTATAATAATTAATTAATGGAACACAACGGAAATCGATACGAATTTATTGATTTTAATTCATTGTGGTTTCTTAAAACTATATATACATATAGTAAATTTTCTTATTTCTGTTCATACAACAGTTTCTACTCACTGACTTTTCTTTCCTATAATTTTATATGTAATTTTATGTCATTGAGTAGAAATTGTGATGTGAATAGAGAATGGGACGTTTATTATAATCAATTAATTGAGCTTTTTATTTTGAAAGTGGCCTAAGTCTATTTATTTTTACTATTACAATCTTTTACGAATATGTAAATACAATAGCATGCCGAAACATTAGATTTATTAATCATTATTTTTACCATCAAGGGCAAGAAAAACTTTCTTTCTAAGCCTGTAGTGTATCAAGTAGTTACAATCAACGATTGAGTCGCCGCGAAAGCAAGTAGAGTAGGCGAAGACGCATCTAATGAGCCTCGTAAAACGATTGTATAGGAGCTCAATCAGACTTTACGTAAAATCAATTCGATGATTCACCTCGACGTGGAGTACCTCTGATTCCCTAATCCCTAGCGCTGTAGCAGCTGCGTCAACAAAGTGTTATTCTTAATTTACAAATTGTATCGAGCCACGTTGATTGCAGTTTTACGTCAGCGACGTATATCCGGTTGCAGCCGGAGCCCCATAACCGCCTACACGGGGAAGAAGCTGAGCGAGTTTGCTCGCTTCCCTTCCGCGTGCGAACGCGATCGTGGAGAAAATATCGGGACCGGATCAAGGGCAAGAAAAACTTTCTTTCTAAGCCTGTAGTGTATCAAGTAGTTACAATCAACGATTGAGTCGCCGCGAAAGCAAGTAGAGTAGGCGAAGACGCATCTAATGAGCCTCGTAAAACGATTGTATAGGAGCTCAATCAGACTTTACGTAAAATCAATTCGATGATTCACCTCGACGTGGAGTACCTCTGATTCCCTAATCCCTAGCGCTGTAGCAGCTGCGTCAACAAAGTGTTATTCTTAATTTACAAATTGTATCGAGCCACGTTGATTGCAGTTTTACGTCAGCGACGTATATCCGGTTGCAGCCGGAGCCCCATAACCGCCTACACGGGGAAGAAGCTGAGCGAGTTTGCTCGCTTCCCTTCCGCGTGCGAACGCGATCGTGGAGAAAATATCGGGACCGGAAGGTTCGATCAGGCGAGCCACGCGTGCAACCGAGAAAATTTTGTCGAATCGATACGAGGAGCTCGTACGCCGTGGATGCATACGCCAGCGGATGAGTAGACGTTTACAAAATGGTCGGCGAATTTGTAACGATGAACAGCCGCTACGAATAAAACGATGATCGATAGCGACAATTAGAACTGTTGCGCAGACGTCTTTTGATGAAGTACTTGCGTTTGGTGTGTGTGTGTATTAAGACGAAACGAAGAACGTCGGAGATGGCGAATTGTTTCCGCGGGGCATGTAAGAACGGTGCAATTTGATTTCCCTTCGAGAGGAATACCAGCTACGTGCTGCAGGGGTGGTCGTAAAAGAGGGTGAGGTCATGAAAAGTATACATCGTCACGGCATTCAATTTTTTCTAATCTCCAATGAAATTATTGTATCCCAGTAGCGCGTGACACACCTTGAATATAAATCAACGAAGGAAAAAACACTTGATAGTGTATGCAGTTTCTAAAAAATAGAAATTATTTTAATTCTTCGTCCATTTACAATTAGGCGATAACACGGTAGGAACTGGTTATTTTATTTCGAATCAATACGTGGCATTAAAAGGAATCGAGAGAACGCGTAGCAGATTTGCTCGTGGGACTCAACGAGGGGTTAAAAGTCTCCCTTACTCGGGAGCCAGTTTATTAAATAGGACGGGTTAAAAAGCGAGCCGTTGCCCTGGAAGAAGGAGCAGGACTCAAAGAGGTTCGACCAAAAGGAACGAATTAGGATGAAGCCGAGCCGAAGGGCTCGTAGGACAACCCTTTGGCGAGGTCGGGGGTGAGCTTTTCGTGATTACCGGGTGACCAGCAGATGGCGGGTTAACTTGGTCATCGGCTAATGCCAAGGGGTAGATGCGCAGGCGCTTATTTGGTACTCGTCACTCGACGACCGACCGCCGATCGGGGGTGTCGCAGTGTCTCGTCCTCGATCATCAGGGTGGTTCGCCAGAGCATCGGGTGAGAGAACGAGTGCCTGCGTATGTGTACGTGATACAGGTGCACGCGCGTACACGCTCAGCCGCGAGCGATACGTGGACGAATGCGTTATAATGTCCACGTACGTATCGATTAAATATTTTGAGAATCGAGGAATAATCAGTGTGACCTAGTGGTGAACCGCGAGGGATCGGTGTTCCCGTCGCCTGCAAGTTTCCGTGTCAAGTGTCCGCCATCGAGTCTCCTCGTTCCACTGAATCGACGTCCGACCCGCTCGGGAAGATCGTTTAAAAGTTGGATTTCCTGGGGCCCCGGAGGTAAGAGCCACATAGGAGCGTCTCCGTTACGACGATCGATCGTGAAAATCCACGTATACCGCGGATGTTCTTTCACCTACGCCCGCTCGGGTTTCTACGACAGTCTCGAACCTTTTTCGTATCGATTATATCGTCCCGACGATATTTTCATTACATTTATTTATACAGTATCGTTAGGTTTCATCGACGACAGTCGACGTTTCGTACGAACGACGGTACTTACTTCGAGCTCCCATATTTGCAACGGGCTTGCAGTAAAACATTCGTACTAATAAACGCGATGCACTAGATTATTAAGTATTGTTATTCAAACCACGCATTCGAACGCTATTGTTAAGATCGGATGAAAAGGTGAATTAATCATCAGTCGAATAGGAGCATCGGGGTGACGCTGGGTGGGGAAGGGCATTAATCCGATTGAAGACCGGGCAACACGCGTCGCAACGTCAATCGTGTTCAAATCGATCACGGATGATCGAATTACGGGAGATTCGAACGTCCGTTAATTGGAAATTGGAATTTCGATGACCGGAGCAGACGTAAAACTCGGGGCACCCCCCGTTGCCTGTTATCGATTACGCGGTGGCTATGTTTTTACGTTCATCTCAAGAATGTACGCAACGGTCTACGGTTTCGCGAAATTGCAGTATCCCATTTACGACGTTATGCCTACCTCAATTTGTCCGAAATATAGTTATGCTTGGTGAATACTTCATCGGTGATGGTATGCGTGCAGATGAAATTGTCACGGAAGGAGTCGAGGTTGAGTCATAAGATTTCTGCCAACAGTTTAAGA